GACTGAGCCACCCAGGTGCCCCTAGTTTTACCTTTTAAAGCAACTGAAACTATGTCTATTTCTTTTCAATATGATAATTTTTCAAACATTTATTTATTTTTTTAAGATTTTATTTATTTGCGAGGGAGAAAATGAGAGACAGAGAGCATGAGAGGGAGGAGGGTCAGAGGGAGAAGCGGACTCCCTGCTGAGGAGGGAGCCCGATGTGGGACTCGATCCCGGGACTCCAGGATCATGACCTAAGCCGAAGGCAGTCGCTTAACCAACTGAGCCACCCAGGCGCCCTAATTTTTCAAACATTTAAACACCAATATTTATTATATTTTCCTTTTAATATTGCCCATATATGCCCTCCCAGCTCCCTATTTTATTCATTCATTCATTCACTCACTTACTCAACAGATTTTATTTGAGCAACCAACACAAGCTAGGAGCTATAGGTTCTAGGGATATAGTACTGAACAACAACAACAACAAAAACAACCCCCCGTGTAATGAAGCTTACATTCACTAGGGGATGTGGATTATATAACATATATAGATATAATATATCAGCTGGTAATATATGATAGGAAGGAAAATAAGGCAGGCAAGGGGGCAGAGAAATGACTGGAGTGTTACCAAGACAAGGCATGTCAGGGAAGGATTCTTTAGTAAAGTGAGATTTGAATGGAGATCTAAAAGAAGTGGGGAAGAGTGTCTGGTCAGACAGAGGGACAGAAGTGCAAGGGTGCTGAGGCCTGGGTGTGATTGGCATGTTCAAGGAACAGAAAATTTCTGTTATCTAAAGATCACATAGTGTCCTTACAGGCTGGGTAAGGAGTTTGGATTCTTTTTCTGAACAAGATGGAAATCTTTTAGAAGGTTTTGAATGTAGGACTGGCATCATCTGACTTACATTTTAACAAGATCGTTCTGTCTTCTGGGTTGAGAAAACATTGTTGGGTGGGAAGAAGCAGCTGAAACCAGAAGACCCATAAGGAGACTGGTCTTCAGAGAAGCAAAGTCTTGGAACTTGTGGTAGTGGTGGAGATGGTGAGAAATGGTTAGAATTTGAAAACTTTCAAAAAAAAAAAAAGAATTTGAATACTTTCTAAAGGTACAGCAACAGATTTTGTTGTCTCCAAGGTATTTAGCTTGAGCAACTGGAAAGGTAGGGTTGTCATTTACTGAGATTGGGAAGACTGGGGAAGAATGTCTGGGAAGGAATATGCCCATTAGGTATCTAAGTGGTGTTGCCGGGTTGGCCATTTGGAGGCTCAGATGCATCAGTGTAGATGGTACTTAAAACCAGAGGAGTAAGAGAGGTTACCAGTGGAGTGATGTAAGCAAAGAAGAGAAGAAATCCAGGAATTGAGTCCCCTGTTTGGATATTGGAAAGACAACAAATAGTCAGAAAAGGAGACAGAGTGGCTCCAGGAGGAGAAGCTGGTGAGTAGTGAAGAAGGTGTTTCAAAGAGGAGGGAGAGAAAAACTGTACCAAATGTTGCTGAAATATCAAGTAAGATGGGTTCGAAATGACGGATTTGACAGAATTTGACGGAAGTAATCGGTGACTTTGATGATAGTTTTTTTTGACCAAAAAAGTGGTAGGGAAAAAAGCTGTATTAGCTGGGGGTTTACAAATAACGAGCAACAACTCTTCCGAGTTTTGTTACAAGCAACAGGACACTAGCTAAAGAGTGATGTTGAAAGGAGTTTTGCTTGCTTGCTTGTTTATGGTGAGGGATGTTCCAGTCTACTTATCTTATTAGAAATCACCCAGACACAGCGAGAGACCTCATGATGCAGATGGAGAGGGGGCATTTTTAGGAGTAATGTCCTTCAGGTGCAAAGAGAGCATAAAGATCTACTATCAGACAGAAACAGGACTGTGAATATTTCACTCACTGTAACAGGAGGGCAGGTGAAGTACAGGGATAAATATGCAGGTAGGCTGGCACATTTGGTGGTGGGAAAATGTGGAAATTCTTTTTTTTTTTAAAGATTTTATTTAGTCATTTGACACAGAGAGACACAGCGAGAGACCTGGGATCATGACCTGAGCCGAAGGCAGACACTTAACGACTGAGCCACCCAGGCACCCCCCTTTTTTTTACTTCTTAAAGATTTGAGAGAGAGAGAGAGAGAAAGAGAGAGCACTCGCACATGTGCGAGGTGGGGGAGGAGTAGAGGGAGAGAATCTCAAGCAGGCTCCCAGCAGAGCAGGGAGCTGGACACATGGCTCGATCCCAGGACCCTGACATCATGACCTGAGCTGAAATCAAGAGTTGGATGCTTAACCAACGGAGCCACCCGGGCACTCCTGGAAATTCTTTTCTGAATGCTTCTATTTCCCAAAAAAATAAGGCAAGTTATTAGCTGAGAGTAGGGAATATGAGAAGATGCTGTGGAGGTTTAAGAAAAGAAGGCTACATGTAGTGGTCATTTCAGTGGCAAGGTTGGCCAATTTTTTTGTAAAGGGCCAGAGTGTCAATATTCCAGGCTTTGTGGGTAATGTGGGCTCTCATGCAACTACCCAATTCTGCAGTTTTAGTGCAAAAGCAACCCATACAATAGGTAGGTGAAAGAGCACAGCTGTGTTCCAATAACGCTTTACTTACAAAAATAGGGAGTCAACTGTGGTTTGCCCCTTCCTGAGTTGGGAGGAAACGGGACAAGGGAAGTAGAATAAGATTGTCAAGCATTACTAAGGACCCACTTGATTTTATTTTTAGATCCTTTTAACATACTAGCCATCCTCCTTGGAGCATATTTCTGTTTGTCGGGATTTTAATGGAGCCCATAACCTGATATAATGCTAAATACATGGGCTGATCTTGAAGAGGCACTTTTCATCAATACTAGAGAGGGTACAAGAGGATCAGTGGTGTTAAATATCCTCCTTTAAACTAAAAAGACAAGGAGACTTTGCGGGGTGGATTTCCTATATTACAAATGATTAACATCTTTTAAAAGCTTTGACACTTAGAGGAATAAATTTCTGTTATCTAAAAAATTCATTGATGTCAGCCAGCTAGAATTTCTTCTCTCTCCATCCATGTCATCCTGACAGCGTTTTAATATACTGTCCTGCTAGCGGAGAAAGGAGGCTCACGACCCTGCAACCTTAGGACCTGCCCTGTGGTTGTTTATTCTGCAGTGTGATGGATTAGTCCTAATCTCTTGGTGCTCCCCAGTGCAGCGCCCTGTATAATAGAGGGTGTGTGTGGGATTGGGGCCGGAAGGGGGGATACACAGGAGGAAAGTGTCTTGGAACTAAATAGGCACAA